TATATATATATATAGATAGATAGATAGATAGATAGATAGATAGATAGATAGATAGATGCAGATATATAAATATGAGTGCCAACAAAAACTCACGAGATGGTGGAATACACTGAGAAGCAGGCATACAACGCAGCATCTGTAACCTCAGGACTAAGATCACCAACAAATATATTGAAATGACCTATATGAACAAACAAGCAGAATTATCACTAAGAAGTATAATCAAATAATTTTAAACAAGCATTAATATATGCATGAATATATACCTGTAGTGTCTTCTCTCTGAGTACTAGCATATGCCCAATTAACTTTTATTGGTTGACTGAACCTGCAATTTAAAATTTAAAATTTAAAGAAAGCTGTGTAACACAAAGGAAAACTAAAGCAAAAGTAGATAAGTATAACTTACAGATGCCTTCCATTTAGGGTAAGAATAGCAAGTGCAGCCGAGCGACGATCAAAGTAGTCAACAAACCCATAAGAGGACTGCAAGGCAAGAAAGAATGACGACATGTCAAAAATATGGCTAATGAGCAGCTAGTGGATAAGACAGGTGTCACAAGGATATATATCAGACACAATAGAAAAGGTATTTATGTAAGCACATTAAAGATATAAATTTTTTCATCGTTAAAATTTTATACTCCCCAATATGTGCACATTTAAATTGGTGCCATGTCAAGTGGTAACATGGAAACTAATGTGGCACTGTTCTAAATCAGCAACTTATTCCTGGTTCTTCATGGTTCATGACGCCTTCTCAACTTCAGTATATCCAATAATAAGATAACTCATACAATGAAGAATTTCACCAAAATGTAAAGTATTTCACCAAGTACCTTTTTTATAACTGAACTCCCTCATTCATAGTAGTATAACTTGTATCTGGATAAAATACCTTATTAAGATGAAATGGCTTACTACACTACATGATGCATCATGTATTTAAGTATATGAAGCACAAGGGTCAGACACAATTTATGAATTGTTCAAAACATGATATGAAATATTGCTCATCACTCATCAGTGTGTAGACTTTAAAAGGTACCATATTAGATGCAACATAAGTAGTTGATGAAGCACAAATTTAAATGTAAATTTATTTGGGGAGAAGCGTTAGTTCCCAATTTTTTTTCCAAAAACTAGGTCCACCAGTCCTTCAATAGTATAATATAGCTTCTTTTGTAAATATCCCTTTTTTTCAGACTTGAAAATAGGCCAATCACGACAGCACATAATTATATTTCTTTCCAAATTGAATGTGAAGATGGGATCTCATCTCTCCATTAGAAGTGAAATCTCAACCGCCTTGAAGTGTTAAGACTGAGCATCAGGGCAGCCAGTTAGATTGATGCATATTCCAGCGAATAATTTTACTTATCAAAAGCCTTCAATGAGCTTATAAAAAATATAGCTAACAAAGATTAAATGAGCCAACAAAAGCATAAATAGACTTATCATGCGGATGTTTAAAAAATTTAACAGATGGCAAAATCAGCTATTAAGGCGTTAAATTCTAAATTACTAACTCGACAAAGATTTTGACGAAAACGCTTTCTTTTGTCGTTCAAGTATTGAAATGAGAGGGAAAGAATGCATCCAAGGCATATATAAAGTGAGAGAATCAAAGGACTTGGTTTATATTTGAATGGTTGTGAGAAATTTCAAAAGTAAATCTAAGTTAAGTTGTCAAACCTTATCCTTCCTGATAAGCTTGCATCCCTCAACAGGACCAGTACTTTGGAAAACCTCTTGAAGGAGCGCTTCAGTAACTTGACTATGAATATTTCCAACATAGCTGCAAAGTACAAAGTTGAGTAACAATCGAATTATATTTTAGCGCAAAAATGAAAAAAAATATTAAAAATCATTAAATCATATCGACATGGAAAAAAATGATTTTCTCAATTTTTTCTTCAATAAAGGGGGAAGTCAATAAATTATAGAAAAATTAGAACCCTAGGATGAAAGAAGAGTCGTAAGATATTTCTATATTCACAATGAAGTCAAAAAATGAAGATCATGACCCCTAAAAGGCCAAAAGCATGCAAACATAGCTTAAACACGAAAACAAAAAATAAAAAATATATATACTAAAAGTTCCTATAACACTCACACACTGCGGCATGTACTTGAATCAAATCCAGGAGGAAGATTTCCACTTGGAATCGGCTCTATCTGCAAAATAAAAGTGTAAAAGAACAAGAAAAATTGTAAAAAAAAAATCCCTACTTAAAAAGGCTATCCTCCTAAAAATAAAAACACTCAAAGCCTGAGGTCAAAAAAAATTGCACTAAAAAAAGGAAGGCCAAGGGAAGTTCTAGCATTATCAATATAAATGTCTCCTAGAAATATGTTTCCACCTAGAGAATTTCATTTACTCATTTCATATAGTAATACACCGAATTCATTCACCTATACTAACCAAACTACTTACGGCATCCCCAATAACTTTAGCAAAAATATCAAACTAGAACCTATAATAGACACATAAGAGTTCTAAAACAACTTATCAAAGCCTTAAGTTCTGATGTTAGAAAGAACACAGCTTGAAGGTAATCAACTTCATCTTAGCTCAAGCAAGCAATGTTCACCTTCTTTATACACAACTCCGGTACATCAAACTGGCCTCAAACTAACCTTACCTTCTGAACTTACAGGGCATTGAATGGAACTGCAAGTTTCCATGTGGCTTAATAATCTAATTGATTAAGAAGAGAAAAAAAGATCCTATCCTCTAAAAAAATACATTAACTTTTCAAAGAGGAACTTAACAAAAGATGGAAGGGAAGCAAATTTCAAGCAACATAATCTTTTGAAAACAAAACAGCAACCTGCCAAAAATTGATCCAAGATTCCACGAATAATCAAATCAAGGGACCGAAATCCCAAATGAAGAAACCAACCCAAATAGAACACCCACCTTCAAAGAATCTAAGCCTGGATCCCAGAAACCATATGTACCACAAATAAACTTCGATGACTCAGCGAAAAAGTAAGACAGAACAAATAAGAATTATTTATAACGTACTGCCAAAGCACGCCTAAAACATTAAACCGTCTGAATAAACTTTACTAAAGACAAAAGGACAACATACAACTGAATGAAAACACAAAACATCCAATTCTACAAACAAATTGCCACTTAACATAAACCCTAATCATTCATGAAAATCAAACCATCAAAGACAAGCGACCACAGAATCGAAGAGACCAAAAATCTCAGCGAAATGAGTGAGCACACCCACAGATTCAGCAGCAAGAAGTAAAAGAACTAAAGAAACGATGTTAATCAAATTGAAGAGACACAGTACCTGGGGATGAGCTAAGAGTCCCGGATGAGGGTAGAGGGATTGCTGCTGCTGGAGGAGTGCCTGCTGCATCAAAGCCTGCTGCTTTAGCCGCTGCTGCTGCATTATTCCCGGCCTAGAACTCCTCAAGAGGATCCCAAGAAAGCTACTCCGATTGAAACGGACGAACTCCGAGGATTAGGGTTTATGTAGCAGTGATGACGGAGAGATGGGAGAAGGGCCAGGAGAGAAAAGGAAAGGAAATTGCAGAGTAGAAAATCAGTAGTTAAAGAGAAAAAGAAACAATTCTCGAGCAGCCACTGCTGAGAGTTCGCATGGAAGGGGGTTCGAAAACTCTGGAAGTCGACTATTTGTACTGTAAGTCGGATGGCTTGATCTAATACTGTGGGGAATGTGATGAGCAAAGTGTTTGAAGATGGCTTACCTGCCCGTCTAAGGAACGGGCACACCATTTTTTACCTTATTTATTTATTTATTTATTTATTTATTTGGGAAATTGATAATCAGACAAAATTTTATTTATTAAAATAAAGTATAAAAAATTAAAAATATTTAAAAAATACAATCCAACACAAGACCAACTGAGCGCAATCAACAAACCAACTAAAAAAAATAAAATCTGAAAAAAAAGATTGAAAAAAATAAAAATAAAAATAATAGTAAAATAACTAAAATAATAAATAGAAGAAAAGTAACCCACTATTTAAAAATGAATAATTCAATCTGTAAAAGAAGAGCCAGAAAATAAAAAAGCAAGAACTATGAGCAACATTGAAATATGCCTAAATAGAAGAGTTAATGATCACAAAATATAATAAATTCCCACCTTAAAGCAAATAACAAAGTTATTTAAAGCTAACGATAGTTTGAAATAGTAACATCACAATATACTCTTCACCTAGGAATCAACAAAAATCATCTAACAAAACTAGCTCCCTCAGATAGCCACGAATCATCACCTTACAAAACTCTAATCCAATAACACTTGAATCAGAAAGATTTAAATTACCACTTCTATAATTAGCATATCCCATCCAATAACACTTTAATCATAAAGATTTAAATTGCCACTTCTATAATTAGCATATCCCATAAACAAATTTAACCGAATGAATGGCAAAAAAGGCAAGCAATAACCTATAATCCACCATAATATAACGACATATTAAAATGAAAGTAAAACAAAAAAATAAAATGAGCTCAGCATACTAAATCCCATAAAGAATATTGAAACTTCATTCATGAAATAAAGTAATATCAAAGAAAATAAAAATAAGCCAAGGTATAACACTTATACCAGTTAAGTTTCAACATAAAGTTGGAAAACATCACAGCTCTCACTAATACCAATAGAAATGAAAATATATGCTCAAATCAAAATATATTTGTATCCTAAATACTGAAACAATTCAACTAATAAAAAGTAGAGAAGTGTAAATCTATTACAAATTAGTTTAATAACTGAAAAAACAAAAGATATTAAGACAACCGCAAATCAATGAAATTAAAGACTATAAATAACATCAAATGTCTAATTCTTGAATGTTTTTTTCATGGTTTTAATCCTAACAACAAAATAATTTTTGCTACCTAAAATGTCAACAGAAAGATTATATTACTTCTTTCAACCCAAATAACATGAGCAACAATATAAACTGTCTAGAGTGCATGAGCTCATGAAGCTCCCAACTTCAAACTTTACAGTCTACATGCATTATCACAACTCATGCAGCTCGCCTTTAAGGCCTACAAATGTAATCTCAGTTCAAGGAGCTCCCAACTCCGACCTTTTATGGTATGCATGTTGTCACAACTCATGTAGCTTCTGAATCTAGCATTTGCAGCCTACGCTATGGATGTTATCTCGGCACATGCAGCTTCTAACTTTGCTTTATGCGACCTGAACATTATCACAGCTCATGCAGCTCTAAACTCTAGCTTTTGCAGCCAACAAACGTTATCACAGAACATGCAACTTCTGACTCCCGCTTTGCAAGTATACGAACATTATCACAACTCGTGCAGCTCCCAGCTTCAACCTCTGTGGACTACAGATATTATCACTGCTCGTGCAACTTCCAACTTATGCCTCTACGATCTATGAATGTTATAACACCTTATGTAACCCCCAACCCCGACCTTTGTGATTTGTAGATGTTATCATAGTTCATGCAACTCCCAACTTCATCCTTTGCAGCCTGTATGCATAATTATAGCTCTTCGATATGGCCTACGTGGCCAACTACGACCTATGTGACTCATAGCTCTCGTAGCTCCCAACTATATCTTTTGCAGTCTACAAACATTCTTGTAGCTCCTTTAAATAACATTTGTGGCAACATGTACTTCTAAAGTAATCATCTATGACCCACATGATGAACTACTACCATGGTTTTCAACTATGGCCTTTTACGACAAGCTGGCGCTACAACTATCGTTTATAATATTCATGTCAAACTACTGGCTTCATAGCAATCAACTATGCCTTTTAGGGGCCATTATGACTAATATTCTTGGAATATTGTTGTACATCAACTTTGTAATTTCATGTTTCTCAACTCAGAAGAAGAGTGAGCATGTGTATTCACCTTAGCGCAGAAGTGCTTACCTAAAAATGTAAACCTAAAAGTTATAAATGATCTCAGGAGCAAGAGCCGTTTTATTTGTAATATTTTTTTCTTCAATAATTGCATCCTAGATATGATGAATAATAGTATGTGATATTTCCTTAATTTTATTAGTTAAAATTTCATACATCATTACTAAAGTAGAATACAAAGCAAATTGTGAAAGCTATCAAGATTAAGTACTTAATATGAGATCATTAGCTAAAATATTTTTTCAAGTAAGCCTTAATTATAAACTTAAAAAAATGTCATAAAATTTAAATTTTTGAATTCAATTTTTTAATCCAAGAAATATCAAATTCTCAAGTTTTAATTTATTATTTTAAATGAAACATTTAAAATTATTCTCTTAATTTTAAATATTATTAGCTTGATTTGGAAGTAGCAGGGGGAGCCATCCCATTGAGGAGAGAGTTTGGAGTGGTTAAACCCTTTTTATTTGTTTCTCTAGTGTAATTTTTTATTAGACTTTGTATTGAAAATATATAATTAATAATTTAAATTTTATTGCAAATGAAAAAAAAAGGCAATTTTGGATGTTTGTAAAAAAAAATTGAAATGATGTATAGTAGAGAGTTTAGTCATCGATTACCATCTTTTATGTTCTATTAGGGAAGCTTTAGATATCTTCCTTATACTTGTTGATTTCTCCTATATTTTATTTATGGCCTATTCACCCATCTTTCTAACATCTTCCTGATACATTTTTCCATGACCTACAATCATGAAAGGAATCCTAAACCTCTCTTAAAATTATTGGTCATAACTAAAATTTTCTTAACCTAGTTTGGATTCTTCCTCCTCACCACCCTTAAAGCATTTTAAATCTCAAACATCTTCTCTAGATATGATTTTTATACATTCTTTTAATATTTTATAGCATTTTCGGCCCCTCAATACATCATTAAGTCATTTCAATGACTCAATTTTTGATAATTAATCAAATCTTTTCAAACCATATTGCCTTAACATAGTCTTGATTTTTCTTATCATTTGATCTCTAACTTGAAATTTCACTAAATAAATTTAAACACATTTAAAGATATTTTTTTAAAACCTCAACTAGTTATATGGCTTGGATTCTCCAATTACAAAAATTAGAGATATAAATATTCGAGAGAAGCTAAGATCGACCATGATAAAATTCTACGGTTGACCTCATCAACCATCATGACAAATAAATTTGTCCCAACCACTCAAAAGTATCCCCAAGGATTTCGTCTCTCATCCTACCAAGTGAATGTCTTGGAAAACCAATTCCAAATCTATGTCAATTACACAAATAGATCTATCATAAATCAATTAAGATATGTAAGTGCATGATGAATTAAATTAATAATATTTTGTTTTACCATATTTTACTAGAATAAAAAAGGGGGACAACACAAATAAACTATTATCTAATAATATCCTATGAACAAATATATAATTTAGTATTGAGACCTTCAATCCATAGGTTTGCCAACTCCTAAGAGAATTAAAGGTTTCACTATTAGTAATAGGAACCATTGGAGTAACAACCAAAATTAAAGAGACAACTATGTTGATTGAAATGTCAGTGTTATAAAACGATGCTAAATAATCATTACTACAAAAAACCTGAAAATAAATCCTGCCAATGAGAGATCATTATTATTTTAGAAAAATATAATTATTTGATATGGTTCACTTTTGTTTTGTTTTGTTTTTTTGATAAAAACTTAAGATAATCGTCCACTTTTAGTCATCTAGGTAATTTCAACTCTCTTTTTTAACCCAATATGTTTTCACAAAAGGAAGCCTATATATCTTTGTGTTATGGTATGGCTCATATACCATATCGGGACAGACGCTGGATTGAAGCGGAGCAGAGCGGAGCGGAAGAATCTGTCC